TGTGGACGCTGGCTACGAATTCTTGCCACAAACTCGAAAACGTCAACTTTTTGTTCAGCGTGGATCATGTCAATCATGGCATCTATTACTATGAATGTTCCTGTTCGACCCACACCAGCACTTGGGAAAAAAACACAGTTGCAACTAAGCAAACCACAGTGGAATAATGCATCTTACTACACACTGCAACAACGTACACTATATTGCCAATAGTATTCGCTCACCCATCCAAATAATCAGAATCAGGTGCTCCAATCACAGGTGTATAAAATCAAGTACCTAGGCATGCAAACTGTTTTTACGAACATTGGTGAAAGAAGGGGTCTCTCTCAGGAGCTCAGTGAATTCCAGCGGGGAACTGTGATAAGATGCCACCTGTGCAACAAATCCAGTTGAGAAATTTCCTCACTCCTAAATATCCCACAGTCAGCTGTCAGCTGCATTATAAGAACGTGGAAGTGTTTGGGAATGACAGCAACTCAGCCACGAAGTGGTAGGCCACGTAAACTCGTCCAACATCAGTGTGTGACCTTACAAATGCGCTTCTGGAAGAATGGTCAAAAATTCCCATAAACACACTCCTAAACCTTGTGGACAGCCTTCCCAGAAGAGTTGAAGCTGTTATAGCTGCAAAGGGTGGACCAACGTCATATTAAACCCTATGGATTAGGAATGGGATGTCACGTACAGTAAGTCCATATGCGAGTAAAGGCAGGTGAGCAAATACTTTTGGCAATATAGTGTATCTACAATTAACAATACCTTATCCCAAGGGGGCACAATAACACTTTAATAGTTGCAAATAGATCTAAAAGGTTCTGTCCAACAAATATGGGTTCCTGCTAATTATGAGGGGGAGATTTTACACAAACACACACATACACACACAAATTCATATGAGAATGATAGTCAGTGTAATAGTGAGTGTAGTAGTTAATTAAGGTGCTAGACATAAGTGGTATCTAACCTTTCAGCCAGTCACTTTCTTTCAGCCCTAGAACAAGGTTTTTTTTAAAAAATCTACTGATGTACACTGGATTTGCATGGTAGACTAAAGTCCATAATCTTCAATTAAGAGGCATTCAACTCTTGTGTAAGAAAAGTCATTGAAGAAATGTATCTACAATTGGAAACCTTTTGTGCAATTTTTGCAGGAAATTTTTAAAAAGTGACATATGGATTTTGATCATTGCTAAAATTTAAAAAAATTCCTTTTTGAGGGGAAAATGGACATCATATTATAGTATTAAACTGTGTTTAAGGTGTTTCTTATAAGCTTGGAAGAAGTTGAAAGTTATTTTTTATACATATGTTTCCTTTCTTTTCTTTCTCTTTATATCATTCTGCATCTCTATTTCTATCTACCTCTTTCCTCTTCATCTTTCTTCCTGGTGGTTAGTTCATGTTAGCTGTTATTTCTTTTGTAAAAAAATAAAATTATTATGAAACAAGAGGTATTCATTCTGCTATAGACTGATTTGGGCTTATTATCACTTATGAAGATACTAGACACAGCATAAATTTAAATTTAACCCTATAATATTCAAATACCATTATCAAAAGCAGACAAATCAGTATTTGGGTACAAGCTTCATTCACAAAAGAGCTTAAAATATATGAACTGAACCCCTAACTAAGAGTTAAATTATCTAATGTCCTCCAGATTTGGATTATAACTCTCATTAGTTGTAGCATAGTCAGGAATTATGAAAGTTGTAGCCAAAACATCTGGAGGGCAGCTTGTTATCTATTACAGTCCAAATCATATGAAAACACTGGTTTCTAATGCAACAGATAAATTCCTCACTGCTTTAAATCTAGGTCTACATCTACCTAAGAGAGAAAGAATGTTTTAAATTACAAGAGGTATGTGGATTATCAGTCAACAAAAAGTCAAAACACATTCTGTTTTGCCTGAAAAGGAAGGAAGAAGCAGTTTTCAAGAACAAATAGAGTAAGATGGTTTATGTTTGTATGTGTTTTTTTAAGTGCCTTCAAATCAATCTTGACTCTGGGAAACTGCCAGAGAAGTCCCTGCAGTTTTCTTGGCAAGATTTTGTAAGTTGTTTGCCATGGCCCTTTTCCTAAGGCTGAGAGAGTGTGACTTGCCCAAGGATATCAAGCTGATTTTCTGCCTAAGGCAGCTACTTCCAGTTTTTAGCCTGATGCCTTAACCACTATACCAAATTGGCACTCTCCATCTCCTAAATAGAGAAGTATTATTAAAGGAATATGCCTTCGGACAACAATATAAAGATAACACATTAGGTTAGGTTAGGTTAGGTTAGGTTAGGTTAGGTTAGGTTAGGTTAGGTTAGGTTAGGTTAGGTTAGGTTAGGTCAGATCATATTTCCATTATTTGGACTATGTTTTTCCTGTCTTTTAAGTAATCTCATATATTACAAATTTAAGTGTTCTAATACTTAATGAGTTGACTCTACAATCATTTTAATCTCTAAGTTGGAAGGGGCCATTTAGGCCATTAAATGTAACTCCCTGATCAGTAAAAGTTAATAACTGAAATAAGTCAATGTTCACAATTCATTATTTAAATTATATATCAATACCAACCCAATGAACCCAATCACTGAATTCAAGACCTGGAAGAACAAACTGCATAAAATCCATCTATCAACCAACTTCTCAAAGCTCTTTTGCATACTCCCAAGTTTGCACACTGCTTTAAACTATCTACTGAAGCACGGATTTGTTCAGTAATTAAAACATGAAGAATGGGAGAATTCTGAAGGGTATTGTGTTGAAATGGAAAATCAACATAATTTTGACAACCTTCCAGGCCCCTACATAAAAGCTTGTAATTTCAACCCAGACTGTACACCATTTAAGAACTCCTTGGTAAGGAAGTGTATGTCCTATTAAGAGTTCTTACATGATTTTGGGCACTGAGCTAATAAAACACAAGTACCCTATAATTAGCCTTCATGCACATCAAAATCCTTTCTTGTTCGGATATGCTTTCCTCTACTACCACTCTCCTCAAATCCTAATTGGGGCACCATTTCTCCCTTTAAATCTTCACTCTTTAGCTGGCTGATCCTTTCCAAAGTTCTCATGACTCATACAATTGTATATTGTATTGGAGGATTCAATTTATCTCTCAACCTATTCTTACCACATACTTCAAAGGAAAAGATCTTCCAATATAATGCATTTGAGAAACCAGACAAAGGCTTTTCCAGTCCTAACAAGTACCTTAATTTTCAAATACCTTTCTTTTAGCCTGGATCTATATAAACAAAGAGCAAAGGAAAGTATTACAGTATGATATATATGAGCCAGGGAAACAGGAAATTCATTGTGTCACTTTGCAGCTTTAAATCTGAGAAATAGAATTGCACAAAGCCATCAGTACACAACATGTACCAACTTGCAGATTTAGTTTTGGTCACCCTGTGTTAATTGCAAAGAGTCTAAAGGACATGAAAATACATATATAATAGGTGAGCTCACCTGCTGAGAATCATTTGAAAAAGAAATACAAAAGTTCTCCAAATATTAAGCTCCACCATTTCCAGCAGTTATAATCCAACATATCTGGATGTTCAATGAAGACAAATCTTCAACCAAGATAAAAAGTAATACATAGTAGCTTATGCAGCAACTTTAGACAAAGTGTCATTTCTGAACTGTTGTGGAAGCCATATTTATTTGTCTGTTAGCCATCAAGAGGAACTGAAGAAGTGTTTGCCATAAGATTTTTACATAGGCAGTTACTGAATCCTGCTAAAAAACTGTACCAAACAAAATAAGATGACATGGGACATTCAACCAGTCACGTCAAATCTTGGAGGAGGATATGAGAAGCCACTAGTAGAAAAGGAAGATGGATATCCTTCCCTACTAGTGTAATATATTCTCCTGACAGGGGAAAAATCTTAATAAAACCACTTCTCTCTGGTTTATTTCAGTATTTCATGTGAAGCAAGAACTCTTGACTTCTTGTTCTCAAATACCGTATGTCAAGAACTGAAATCAAAGAACAAAGTACTGATGTCAAAATCCAAATTGTTCAGAATGCATGCTGAATGTACACTAAAGACATAGGGACTGGACTTCCTGTTATTGTTTTTAAGATACTCCTGCTGGGAGGAGTCAAGAAGGAACAATCAAATGGCATGCACAAGCATGTAAAGTTTAAAAAAACTAAACTAAAAGATGCCTTTTTAA